TTGACGGGAAGAAATCCTGCCTCACTATGACCAAGCTGCATCGCAGCCAGCGCCTCCAGGAGTTTATCGACTTTGACCGAGACAATTTGTACTATCATTCCATGAAGTATATGCGTGAAGAGCGCAAAAAACGCAGAGGGGTCAAAAGGAACCAGGGGCAGAAAGAAACCCAAGTAGAAAGAAGGAAAGGTAAAAAGAAGCCAAGACAAACAGAAACTTCAGGTTTGAACACCCCTTATATTATAAAAGTGTCAAAGTTGGAAAATAGTGAAATCTTACATTGAGTAGAACTTGAGAGAAGTGCAGAAATTTTGTTGTAACTAATGGTCATCCAAGGTATTGATAACCTAGTGGTGACTGCTCAGTTTTCTTTTTATGAGGCATGAAGTTGGTTGATTGCCTCCATTTTTTCCATTTTTTAAGTGCCTAAATGTTTCCAATTCCTTGCATCAGGAGGAAACTTCAATTAGTGCTTGCAGCAATTTTTTGCTTTGTCTGAAGTGTAAAACTTGACAGGAATGCATCCTCCAAGGATGGTAGGAATTTTGCTAATAAGAAAGAGAGCAAAGACTTGAGGAGGAAAATTGACACCATGAATATAGCATGTTCATTGTGAAGGGAATCATCCTGCTGTCCCCCGCAGGTAACATTCATACAGTACTTGCATGGGAAATGATTAAGGTGCACACCATAGGACTTGTGGCCTCAGAGTGAAGAGAGAAAACAGTGGTTGTAGCTACTGGGACCTATGGAAGGACAATTTATCTATAAAATTCTCCCATCAAGAGCATTAACTAGACCTACTTGTATTTTAACTGAAAAGATCCTGTTTTCTATTAGCAATACAAATCTTGTTTATTGCAGTAGAAAATTATGTATAACTTGTGCAATGAATTATGCTTCAGATACCATGGGGCAAGACGAGGGGGTGAGCCATGAAACTAGAGGCCACAGGTACGTGATTGAATATCCATCATCCCAGGAACGTGAGGACCCCACAACTGAACCAGATCCTGAAAGTGGATCTCATGGTATGTTTCTGGACTCTTCATTTCTTTTTTCTAGGTCATTGTATGCATGCAGTGAAAATAATTCATGAAAAAAGCTCAGATCCTCCCCTTTGACCTGTTGCTCATAACATATGTTCTGTTATCCTTGCTTGCCTCCATATTGATAGAATAAGAAGAAATGCCAAGGGTGATCTTCCTAAGAACTCTTGCAATAAGTAGTCTTAAATTTTGGTGAAATGTGTCAGATAAGAAGTGATGGCCTTCAACCATAACACCTTTCTGAAACAAGCCATGTTTCACCTTCTGTATAATGTACTTGGCTCATTTTTTCATAGTTAACTCTACAGTTTACTTTATGGTTTTGAGTGTACATTTTTAATTTTAAAAGTCAGAAAAAAAAGACAAGAAAGCTAAGTTTAACCTTATGTTATGGTCAGCCCCTTGTTGTGGGATGTTCACCTGGACATCAGATTGCAAATCCCATGAATCTGTTGATGGTTCTGGACTGGATTCTCTGTTTGCTTGTAGTCTTGGGAAGGGATCATCTGCGGACTGTGGGACCAGATCGTGGTGAACCAAAGCAGGG